GCCCGCCCGGCGGACGCCCCTCGCCCAGTCGGGCCCGCCCACCAGACGCCCCACGCCGGGTCCGGCCCGACCACCGGATGCCCCACGCCCGGTCGGGCCCGCCCACCGGACGCCCCATGCCCGGTCGGGCCCGCCCGGCGGACGCCCCACGCACGGTCGGGCCCACCCACTGGACGCCCCACGCCCGGTCGGGCCCACCCACCGGACGCCCCTCGCCCGGTCCGGCCCGCCCACCGGACGCCCCTCGCCCGGTCGGGCCCGCCCACCGGACGCCCCACGCCCGGTCGGGCCCGCCCACCGGACGCCCCACGCCCGGTCGGGCCCGCCCACCGGACGCCCCACGCCCGGTCCGGCCCGCCCACCGGACGCCCCACGCCTGGTACGGTACACCTACTGGACACCAAGTTAATACCGCCTCAGGTCTGCATCAGACCTCCATGAGACAAGTACTCTATGTGCCAGGTAGGGTATTTTGGGTTATAAATGACAAAAAACTCCACCTAAAGTGTCTTCATCAAAAGTGTATTTTCCCTGGCACGTGTGCTTTGGAAGGTCCATGGATACACGAGCTTCAGGAACAGCTTCATCCAGGGTCCAGCTGATGACCCTTGGCAAAATCTCTCTGCTCTCTTCGCAAGGTGGGCTCCCTTCTCAGTCACTCTCTCTCCTCATGTGTGAAAGTCGCTCCCAGGACCTCATCTTTCCGGGCTGACATCTAGTGAAGAGAAGTGAGAATCTTTGAACCAGCGTCTCTACCTCATCGTGTTGCACCTTTCTGGATCTTACTGGATGGTGTGCTCAGCCCTGATCAATAACCATGGCCTTGAGGAACACAGTGCACTGATTCATTTGGGCCTGAATAACAGGGCTTACTTTTTTTTTTAATTAATTAATTAATTTTATTTTTCGCTGCGTTGGGTCTTCGTTGCTGCACGCAGGCTTTCTCTAGTTGCAGCAAGCGGGGGCTACTCTTCATTGCGGTGCGCGGGCTTCTCATTGGGGAGCACAGGCTCTAGGCATGAGGGCTCAGTAGTTGTGGCTCACGGGCTTGGTTGCTCCGCAGCATGTGGGATCTTCCCAGACCAGGGCTCGAACCCGTGTCTCCTGCATTGGCAGGCGGATTCTTATCCACTGCACCACCAGGGAAGTCCAGTAGGGTTTACCTTTAAGCCCAGGATGGAGTCAACTTCAAATTACATGGGCTGCCAGTGGGGAAGGAGACGGTCACCTGGAGGGAAGTTGAGGAGACTTTTACAGGAGAATGAAGGGCTGCTGAGAGGCGAAACAGCAGATGTCCACTGAAGTGGAGTAAAGTACGCCACCTCAAAGTATGCCACTTGGTCATAAGGATCATTTTGAGCTGAAGGCAGTCTTTTTCTGTTTGGTTGGTGTTTTTCGTTTGGTTGGTTTTTTGTTTTGTTTCTATTTGGGTTTTTTTTGGGGGGGGGGGCGTGTTTTTTGTTTTGTTTTTTATCCTGAAGGCAGACTTGAAGAAACAGACACCAAAAAAGCTTTCTGGACTCCACCTGTTTCCTAAAAGTGGGGCATACACTTATAAAGTTGTCTTCCGGTCCCCTTTCTAACTAGGAAGAACCAGAGACAAACCTAGACCCTTATCACCTAGCGACATCCCAGGAGGAATCTATGTAACAAAACTCACTGACTATTCTTCCTCTTCCATCAGTCCCCCCACGGGCCTGTCTTCCACAGTTTGCCACCCTAGAAACTCAAAGCCCTGTCACTTCTCCGAAAGTTCATCATTCCTTCAGTTAAGAGGCTAGGTGCTAACCCAGGTACTAACGGCTCTTTTGGGTTGCTCATCGCTGAGTACTCTGACGCACGTGTTAATAAACTTCTGTTGGTTTTTCTTCTGTTAGTCTGTCTAGTCAGTCTGACGTCCAGGGCTCCAGCCGAGGAAGCTAAGATGTGTGGAGGAAAACAACTTGTTTCTTCCTCTCATCCACCATGCTACTGTTTATCGCACCATTTTATAATTAGGGAAACTGAAGTTCAGGCAATGTAAGTGATCTCCCCAAGGCTACACAGCGATTAAGTGGGATTGGGGAGAGTCTATGCCCAGTCGTTTTGAGTCTTTGTTATTTGACAGCTTCCTGGGCCTCAACTAGGTTGTTATTTGTGGTCCAAGATTACACTGCAGCTATCTTGGTAGTCCCTACAGGTGGCAGAATAAAGTCTTAAATAGAGTAGTGTTCAGTAACAGAATTGAAAAATTCTTCTAGGGGCTTCCCTGGTGGCGCAGTGGTTGGGAGTCCGGAGTTCGTGCCCCGGTCTGGGAAGATCCCACATGCTGCGGAGCGGCTGGGCCCGTGAGCCATGGCCGCTGGGCCTGCGCGTCCGGAGCCTGTGCTCTGCAATGAGAGAGGCCTCAGCAGTGAGAGGCCCGCGTACTGCAAAAAAAAAAAAAAAAAAAAAAAATTCTTCCAAAAAAGATCACTGTCTCAATAATTTGAAGTTTAATATTAAATTTCAAACCCATCTTCTAGCTGAATGCCTTCCTTTACCGTTTTGTAATAATGTCCCTTTTATTTCCAAGGATCGCTGAAGCAGTGAATTTCAAAGACTCCGTGAGGCCTGCAGCCAGTTACCATATTTCCCTGGAGGAATCACTCCCCCCGGCTCTCCCAGGGAGTGCTGGGCGCTTCTCTTCACGTCGTCCGTCTCAGGCACAAACAGGTGAGGTGCTCTTCTTTGATTCGGTTTAGCATTTAGGACGGTTGTTTGTCCACGTGCTCGTAGAAAGCGTCTTCAGTAGTGTGGCGGCCTGACTTGGCATTCTGCTGCCCCAAGAGCCCCTTCCTTTTCTTGATCTGTAGCAGAAAAGCTCTTCCGGTGGCAATGAGGGTTGATCACAGGGTTTTAACGGGTAAAAGGCATCTGAGGCCAAACTGAAGATTTCACACAGTGCTATAGCAACTAGGAATGTTTCTGTGAATAGAAATAATGTGTTTTAGGGGGAGGGAGATGTGATTTGTGGGGAGTGGGGATAAATTGGCCAGTTCTCAGTGGTCTTGTGTAACAGCCAATGGCAAGTGAAGGAATGCCTTCTGCCTGAGAGAAACACACTTGAGAGCTTAGAACACACCACTAAGTTTGCCCTGATGCATCTTAACTTTACTTTTTTTCTACATTGAATTTATTTTTCAATGGATGAAAGTACCCAAGTTACTGCTAATGTGTATGTGAACCGTCCACTCACTTTTTTTTTTTTTAAGCAGAGGTCTTCTTAGAAGCCCACATGATTTAAATTTATTTATTTATTTATTTTTGCTGTGTTGCGTCTTCGTTTCTGTGCGAGGGCTCTCTCTAGTTGCGGCGAGCAGGGCCCACTCTTCATCGCGGTGTGCGGGCCTCTCACTATCGCAGCCTCTCTTGTTGCGGAGCACAGGCTCCAGACGCACAGGCTCAGTAGTTGTGGCTCACGGGCCTAGTTGCTCCGTGGCATGTGGGATCTTCCCGGACCGGGGCTCGAACCCGTGTCCCCTGCATTAGCAGGCGGACTCTCAACCACTGCGCCACCAGGGAAGCCTGAGAAGAGACCTTTTTTAACAGCAGAAAATTTCTTCTCTCTTTCTCTCATTAAAGTAGGAGGTTCCAGACATCAGCTTCAGAAACGTACTCCAACCCACCAGCCTCAGCAGCATATTGACACAGGGGCTAGGCAGCCAACACTGGCGCGTTACATTTGGATAATTACCACGAGTCTGGTCTTCCCACCAAGGGTGACATGCAAACTTGCAGTTTCATCAGACAGAGAAGATAAAGGCGGGTCTTTTCTTCATGTCTCCTCATTTCAGACCATCCAACTCAGCGGCAAGCAGTGCGCCCAAGTCTGCAAATCAAAATCCATTTGAATTTGTTTAAGGGGAGTGGAGCGCACTCACTGATTCAGGCATGTTCCTTCTGGGCTGTTCCGTCACCACCTTTGGAAAAACACATGAGGTGGGGCCCACGGATAGGCCGTGACTTGTCCTGCAGGGATTTGAAACGCCGTGATTGGCGTTGTGCCCTCGCGGGAGAGATCTGCTCCTCAGGCACTTACCTGACAGGTCTTGGTTCATCGGTGATTCACAGTGATTTTGCCCTCCAGGATTTCAGGGGGGCCCTTAGTGTCACGAGGACACACTTCCTGTGTCTGGAGGACGATGCATTCTCATGGGAAAGCGTGAGTTGGGGCAGAGTGCTTCCTCGTCCTGGCAGGTTCCCCATGGTCCAGAGGCAGAAGCACCGCAGCGTTGGTGAAAGTCCTCAGGACCTGCTGGTGCATGTGGGGGAAGCGTCTGCTCATTGTTAATGAGGCTTCTTGATCTGTCAAGACATTTAACATTTAATACGTGTCATTAATGATTCAGAGAAGCAGCATTCCGTGCTCTTGGGAGAAGCACGTGCCAGTGTGGGACGTGAGCATCTAGAGGGACGGGGAGGGCCCTGCCTCCCTCGGCTCACACGGGAGTGGGGTGCCACCCCTCCTCGTTCCCACAGGCCCCGTGGCAGGTGCTACACAATGGGGCCCCACTGCAGACGTGCTTTTCTGTTGAAAGTCAGTGAAAAAAGCAGGATTCTCAGCTTTCCTTAAAAAAAGGTAATAGAGTTTTTGAGCAAAACCATCTTCCATGTCCCTGACAGGAGCCGCCTACAGTGGCTCAGAATATGACCTACAGCCCTTGAGGAGGGACTAAAGGGCCTTGATGTTTAGTGGCCGCACTTAATACTTGGTGTTGCTTGGCTGTTTTCCTTTGCTTCTGCATTTTCTCACTCCTCTGATTAAACTTATTCTCTGGCTGAAGTTCTTCCACAGACAGAAGGCAGGCGGAGCACATTGTGCGGCCCGTCTCGCCTCCCGCACCCTCTACTTGTCACGGCGCGCTGCTGCCCGCTTACCTCCCACCTTACCGGCCCTTCCTTCTCGGTCTCCTTTTCAGGCTCAGCCTCCCCACCGCAAGTTAAGCGTTCCGCAGAGGTGCATCCTGGGTCTCTTCTCTCCTCACTGTATTTCCTTCTGTAGTTAACCTTATCATCCCCCAGGCCTTCGAAACTGCCCGTACGTTGATGGATCCCAAAGTTATGTCTCTAGAATATTCCTACCTCTTAGCTCTAGATTCATGGGTCCAGTTGTTTCCTTGATGTCCGCATCTGGATGTCTCGTGGGCAGTGCAGCGTCCACAGGCCAAAGTCATCTCCGCTCCCTCACTTCAGACCTCGCTCAGCGTTTCCACTTTGCTAAAGTGAACCACAGTCCATTGACCTGGACGGATCAAGAGAACCCATTCCTTGTATTCCCTTTCCCTGACTCTCCTTGTGTCCAGCTCACTGCTAACTGTTGCTTTCATGTCCAAAATTCCCTGAAATCCACCCAGTTTCCTCATCTCCACGGCCTCCACCCCCAAGTGCACCCAGTGCCATTTCTTGCCTGGTGCCCACGCAGCCTCCTAGCTGGACTCCTGCCCTCTGCACTCCCTGTGGCAGTTCGAGTGCTTTTTTGAAGAAACAAGTCTGGTCGTCTGCTTCCCCTGCTGTGGGTCCTCCCCAGCTCCTGTCACACTCGGGGTGAAGGCAAACCCTCCCCCGTGGCCCAGGGCCCGGCACTGTCCCCTCAGCTTCCTCCTGTACCACTCTCCTCTTCTGTCTCTGCCTCAGCCGCTGGGCCTTTGCACACGCTGTTCACCCAGCCCAAAGCCCTCTCCTCCCTCTCTGGTCACTGCTGGCCGCCCCGTGCCTCAGCTCTGTTGTCATACCCTCCTGGGCCAGGGGGCGCCCCTGCGCTGTCCCCCGTTCCTTGTTGGCATACCCTCCTGGGCCAGGGGGCGCCCCTGCGCTGTCCCCCGTTCCTTGTTGTCATACCCTTCTGGACCAGGGGCGCCCCTGCGCTGTCCCCCATTCCTTGTTGGCACTTACACGCCTCCTGTGGCCACTCACTTCCTGTTGCTCTTTTCTGCTAGACTGTCAGCTCATGGTTTGGGTTCATCATGGAATGCACAGCACACGGCATACAATAGGGACTCAACGAATATCTACAGTATAAAATGAACTACAGATAATAGTCCTTTGTAAATGGAAATCAGAGGTTAGAAAAGGCTGCTGACACAGTGCGGCTGCGGTGGCTGCAGGACCCGAGTCCCGGTGTGAGACGCCAGAGCCCAGGGTGCTGCTCTGTGTCTCCTCTGAGGGCGAGGCCGGGCTTCATCTGCGTCTGCCCCGTGTTTGTGTTCACGCCCCGGGCAGGAACTGCAGCGCGCTGCTGAGCTGGTAATTTAATGAGCACAGACGTCCGTCCGTCAGACAGCCTGGTTCAGCTACTGTTTTAAGAGATTTGAAGATAAATCTACTGCGAAGGTCAGTCACTTAAATCGTCTGTTATTGTCTATTAAGGAAAATGTGTATAACAGGATTAACATGTAGCTGGCCCTCCATGTCTGTGAGTTCTGTCCATGGATTCAACCCACCTCAGATCGAAATATCGGGGAAAACATTCCAGAAAGTTCCCAAAGGCAAAACCTGAATTTGCTGCAAGGCAGCTATTTACATAGCATTTAAAATGTATCTACAGTTGTGTACACGGCTTGTACCTCATTTTAGGTTTTATGAGATCTGGAGATGATTTAAAGCATGGAAGGGGGGGCACAGTTATACGCAGATGCTATGCCAGTGTCTATAAAGGACCTGAGCACCTGTGGATTTTGGTGTCCTTGGGGGGGTCCTGGAACCAATCCCTGTGGATACTGAGGGACCGCTGCAATTTACAATAAAACATGGAAAAAGATATCTATTTTTCGAGACACTGAACCATTTAGTTGTTACAAGTATACATAAATTTTATGAAGCAGTAATTATAATGTAGACAAGCTTTTTATTCTCACAGTTAATTATAATTGTGAAAGGATTATCGCATGGAGAGTCACCAGATCACATCCCCCGCAGATTAAGTTGTATCATTAAAGTGTACCCACCGCCTCCTTATTTGTCTGATTTTTTTTTTAATACTTGTGCTCTAAAAACACGGAAGTCAGAGATATGGGAACATATGTATATGTGTAACTGATTCACTTTGTTATAAAGCAGAAACTAACACACCCTTGTACAGCAATTATACCCCAATAAAGATGCTAAAAACAAACAAACAAACGCGGAAGTCAGTGGGGCGAGTGTGATCTGGGCTTGTGCCCGTCTCACCTGCATCAGGTTCTCGGAGCTGTGGGTGCATTCTCACAACTGAGGGTCTCCTTAACTCCATCAGTTGGCGGTTTGACTCCTTTCTTCCGTGATTTTTATTCCACCTGTTGAAACGTATGGACAAGTCCCCACGCCCTTGCCGATGGATTCAAATGGCCCAGCAGCCTGGGAACCCTGCCCCGCCCTCTCCACGGAGGCCCCGTGTCTTCACGACAGGCCCCCATGTCACAGCCGCTGGCTCAGGGGCTGGAGGAGGATGGGCTGGGGCTGCGGCCGCAGGAGCCGGGGTCCTGAGCCGTCCTGGGGGCTCCTGCCCGGCCTCCAGCCGCTCCACCGACAGCCGTGGTCACCCCTCATTCACGTCTCTGAGCCGTCTCATCTGCGCCTGGACTCAGCGCACCTTCCGTTGGGGCAGGAGCCCTGCTCTCCCTGCGGGCGGAGTGACCGCCCCGGTTCATGGCCATCGAGGAGCCACAGGAGCTTCCAGGGCTTTCCTGGGGGTGATGGCTTTGAAGATCCCAGCGGTGACACACTCCCTTCCTAAGGATACGGGTGAGAGAGCTGGGGTCTCCCCTCCCCTTCTCTTTCATCTGCATCCGTAAGGACTTTCTGAAGCAAACCTGACCCAACCTGCAGTATGCACAGAGGAACGCACAGGCCCCTGTGACCCGCTAGGGGCAGGTTGGGTCAGGGCTGACATGCCGCAGTCAGAATCTCCGCTCAGCTCTGTGTCGCCGCGCTGACTCTGTGCTCAGGCAGCGTGGCCTCCAGCAGTCACCAGGCCGAGGCCTACCTCGTTCACACCAAGCAGGAGACACAGGGCCTGTCCCAGCCTTCCCAGGTCTCACTGCCACTTATCTGCCCTGATGGTGTCGCTGCTGGCCCGGCCATCCCCGTGGCAGGAGCCCGCTGCGTGGTTGGCTGAGACCCACGTGACGGGGCGGTGCGTCTCCAGGAAGATCAGGGCCCAGTGAACCAGGAGGCAGGTCAGTGGGTGCTAAGCCACGAGATCTTCCTGCGACCAAGGTGTGCTCAGGTTTTTATTTGTGAGCTTCTCCAACAGAGTGGCTCGCAGGGTACCACGTGGAACAAGGGAGAGGACAGAAATGTGAGCTGGTACATACTGGTGAGGGTCACAGCGGTTCAGGGGTCATGACCTTCCCAGGCAGCCTGGGATACAGAGGGTGGGCTCCCCAAACCCCCTTTCCACTCTGAGTGGGGCTGATCGTCGTTGAGGAAAACGGTGAGAAGCGTTAGAGCACAAACGCGCTTGTTACCGTTCTCAGCCCTCGGGCCAGGCGTGAGGCAGATCGGCATTTCACAGCCTCTTAAACTCTGCTGCCTCCTGGCAGAAACAAAACCGTACAGAAATGAAAGCATCGTCTCCCTGGGGGGTGCGATGTGATCCCCTTGGGGGCCGCACCTCCGGCTGAGGACCATTGTCTGCAAATCCTCCATCCAAGGAGGTGTGTTTGGAGGTCTGCGTTGTAGTGTGTGTTATTGAAAACAATATTTTTCCCAGTTGAAGACCAGCTGAGAGACAGACAGGGAGAGATTCCCTGTATTGATTATAAACTCCTTTGGTTGGACATACGCTGTAAAGCAGTTAAGTCACTTAGAAAGGAGGTTTTTTCTAATTATGGAAAACCTGTGTCTCCTGAGAAGGACCCCTGGACACAAGACCCATGAGAACTGCCAGGGCCAGGGGCGTGGCTCACCCTTCAGTGTCATAAAGGACACCATCCTAAAGCCAGCTGCTCATAGCGTCCCTGGAGTCCCGGCTTCTCTCCAACAAGTCAGGAGTGAGAGAGCGAGGTGGAGGTGTGAAAAGGTCGAGCTCAGCTCCTTTCTTCTCATGTGAAGAATGAATAACATGTTGACATGCGGCCTGCAGAAGGCTTTGGAGAAATTCAACCCACGGCGTCTGGGCTGAGTGATTTATTCCACGGGCAAGAGGCACCTGGAGGAACAATCGAGAAGGAGGTCCAGAGTCAACAGTTCTGGGACACTTCTGATGCGGGTGGAGAGTAGAATCTACCCCTGGACCTCGGAGGCCCTGGATGGGCCCTGGGTGAAATGACTGTCCTGGGTCCCCGCTCAGCCCGCAGCCTCGTGTGTGTTCCACAGTAAACCCAGAGCACGCGCCTCAGAAGCCAACAGGGGAGGGGATGCTGCTGCCAGCCTGGGGGACAGAAGGCCGGACCTAAGGTTTGAGGGGTGTCGCCGCGAGTCCGGGTGGGAGCCAGCGTGGCTGGATGCGAACGCAGGAGGGAGAACGCCCGAGTGAGACAGGGCCCCCCCAGCTGTCAGGGGAACTGGATAAAACCAGGAGAGGCCAGCCCGTGACACCCGAACGTGAGCGGTTGTGAAGTCGAGGCAACTGCCCTGAGCTGGCCGTGCTCTCCCTGCTGAGCCCGCCCCTCACCGGCTGCAGCGTGTGCAGGGAGCTTCTCTCTCGGCCCTGGGGATGGACTGGATGCCTCAGAGCTGCCTCGTGGATCACAGGAATCATGGGGTGTCTTAGTCCCCTGGGCCGCTGTAACAAAGTCCCACAGACTGCTTGTCTACAACCAGCAGACATTTATTTCTCGGGGTCCTGGAGGCTGAAGCCTGGCCAGGTTCAGGGAAGACTGTCTTCTGGGCTGCAGGCTGCCAGCTTCTGGCTGGGCCCTCGCATGGCAGAAGGGGCGAGGGAGCTCTCTGGGGCCTCTTTAATGAGGGCACTAACCCCACCCATGAGGGCTCCACCCCATGACCTAATCACCTCCTGAAGGCACAAAGAGACGCTTGGTGGAGGGGGTGGGGTTGTCTGGGCCCCAGCTCCAGCCTGCTGGGCGCTTCCACTCTGGTCACCCAAGTAGAGACCGTGGTGCAGTTTGGGGCTGTGATTTGACCTCTGAACCCAGTAGTACTCTCCAGCTCCCCCTCCCGCCTCTGCTCAGGTGCACAGGCATCTCCTGGGACACGGGCTTCTCGCAGCCAGGAGCTCCAGAATGGCTCCTGGGAGAATGCCCCTTGGAGGGAAACTCTGCCAGACCCTTCTGGGCACCCAGGGCACGCGATCAGCTTCTGGCCAGCGTCCTCCATGAACAGGGTGATGGGACCCCCTCCCTGCCAGGCCAGGGCGATGGTGAGTCAGGGTGTGTGCCGTGTTCAGAGCCGCCCTTGCAGCTCTGCCGGCCCACGGTGCTCTCCACAAGCATTCCTTCCCTGGGTGCAGGTCTCTGGAGAAGGCATCTTGTTAGCGTCCTGATTAGGAAATGACCTAATACATAGCTTTAAGTTCTGTCAGAGCCTGACATTCTCTTTCCCTTTTAATGATCCTGGTAATCACTAGGAGGGTGAAAACTCTGTGTTTTCTCTTCTTGTTAAGGATCGTGCTCAGCTGCAAGAAACGGAAGAGACAACCGAGAGCCTGACCCGATGGGGATTTACTTTCCTCCTTGTCAGACATCCGAGGAAGGTGGTTCAGGGCCGGTGTGACAGTTCTCGATGCCCTCAGGACCTGCTGTGGTGTGTGTTTGGGGCACCACTGTGCTGTCTTGTGGTTACAAGAGGGCTGCCCTACCTCCCACATCACAGCTGCATTCCTGGCAAGAAGAACTGGGAGGGTAGATGACAGAAGGGATCAGCCAGCTGAGTCCAGCCCTTAAAGGAATCCTCTTCCCCTGTCTGCATTTCATTGGTCAGAGTTCTGTCACATGACCAGCATGTGGCCAGGGGGTTCTGGGAAATGTAGTTCCATAGCTGGGCACATTGCAACTCTGATCTTCAATGGTGTCCTGTCCCTTAGCATGAAGGGCCCATGCACACAGCTCAGGCATCATCTGGGCCTGCCAGAGCCCTCAAGGAGGTGGGTCTGGCTCTGTGGGGCCTCCCTGGGCCCCTCCCAAGGTCTGGCTTCTGAGCAGTGGCAGCCAGACAAGAGGTGAGGGACCCTGCTGACGCAGACCAGAGTCAGCCTCCCCATCCGCTTCCAGTCCTGTTGCCGTGCCAGCAATCTGTCCAGAGGGAGATTGGGGAAAGCCTCCCAAATCCTTCATCCTGGGGGCACATCCCTGAAGTCAACGCATCAGGTGCACTGAAGGCTGGTTCCGGAATCCCACGGAAACTGAGCCACGGACGAGCAGAGGGAGGGGTTGCTGCTGAGGGACCAAGCGAGCTTGGACACATTAGCAGTTCACTCTGTTCCAGAAAACTGTGTTTGTTTGTCGGGACGTCCCTGGTGGTGCAGTGGTTAGGAATTCGCTTGCCAGTGCAGGGGACACGGGTTCGAGCCCTGGTCCGGGAAGATCCCACATGCCGCAGAGTAACTAAGCCTGTGCACCACAACTACTAAGCCTGCACTCTAGAGCCTGTGAGCCACTACTACTGGAGCCCGTGCACCTAGAGCCTGTGCTCCACAACAAGAGAAGCCACTGCAATGAGAAGCCTGTGCACCGCAACAAAGAGTAGCCCCTGCTCGCCACAACTAGAGAAGGCCCGCACACAGCAACAAAGACCCAGCGCGGCCAAAATAAATTTTTAAAAAATTAATTTTTTAAAGAAGTACTGAGAGGCAACAGACAAAATGACATTTTATTGTGCTGTGCTGCTGGTATTTTGGACACCTTTCTCCTGACTTCCCCAGACTTCCTGTAATGAGCTGCCCTGTCCTACATGTATAGCAGGAGCCTTGCAGAGTCAGGCCAGCTCTCCAGGAGAGTGGTTCATTAAAGCTGACAGTCAGGAGGGCCTGGGGAGCTGACTGTGCCACCAGGGCCCCTGGAGCCAGGAGCTTCCTTCCTTCCTCCCCTTCCCC